CAGGCAGGCAGGCAGGGTACCAACACAAAGTACAGGTTGGAATGGAACTTGGGATGATCCTCCTGCCTCAGCTTCTCAATTGCTCAGGTTATAAATGTGAGTCACAATGTGCCATTTAGAGTTTAACTTTTAATGGAAGAATTCACTAGATTTACATTTAGTGCAGTGTATTTGATTTTTCTTTTTTCCTTCTTTTTTTTAGTAGTCATCTCATTTTGTTTTTTCCTTTTCCTTATTTTTACTGATCTGAGTATTTTACTGGCTTTTCTACTTTTTCACTTTGTTGATTTCATGCTGTAATATACTTTTCTATTCTGTTGGTGTTTACTATATCTTTCTCTGTATTCATTAATGTTTACTTCCCCATTCTCTGCTTAGACACACTGCCTGAAAATATTTTAAATAGATTCAAGTATTAGTAGGGTTTTTTTTGTTTTTTGTTTTGAGACAAGGTCTCATTATGCACTGCAGGCTAGCCTTGAATTTGCTTATATAGTCAAGGCTGGCCTTGAACTCACTCCTGCCTCAGCCTTCTGAATGATGGGATTACAGGCTTGTGCCACTATGCCAGCGTGTTTCAATTATTATTTACAATATGTTTTCAAGTATACTCTCAGTGAGAGATAACCTTCCTCCTATAAAATAACTCCTTTCTCCTCTGTAGTAAGAGACCATAATAACATTTACACATTTTCCTCTTTGGTCCCCACCAACAGACTTTGAATAATGTTTACTTCACCCCTTTTCTACCTAAGTACTAGGCTTTTAAGAAATATATTTTAAAGAGAACAAAAATTTTAAAAAAACATTAAAAATGATACAAAATTTCAAATCGAGATAGGAAATCAATGGTTGTTACATTGCATACTGTTATCTTCAAAGTAGTTGTCCAGAATACCATATACAAGCATGCAAAATTGGTCAAAAAATTAACTATTCCTTTCAGTAAGGCAATAGAAATTAGTAGTACAATTATCATTATATATATATAATATATATATATACTCCCCCTTCCTCCTTTCATTCCTTTCTCTTTTCCTTCATTCCACTTTTTTTCTTTTGATTTTTTTGATTTGAGCAGCTTCTTTCCCTTTCACAGTATCTATTATACATTATGAATTTTTTTTTTTTTTTTTTTTTTTTTTTTTGCGGAACCGGGGATTGAACTCAGGTCCTTGAGCTTGCCAGGCAAGTGCTTATTCCACTGAGCTATCTCCCCAGCCCCTATACTTTATGAATTTTGTTTACTCTTTCAAATTCTTACACTATGGAGACAAAATGATGTTTGCACATGTGGGTGTGATTTATTTCAGCCTGGTCACATCCATTTAACCTATAAAAGCCTCAAGTTTATCTTTCTTTATAGCTGAATAATACTGCATTGTATAAAAATACCCCATCTTTTTTATCCATTACTCAGTTGACAGTAACTGACTTTTTGTGAAAAAGAGTATTATTTATAGAATACTAACAGAAAGAGTATTTTAGGAAATTTTTAACTTCAATTATATGTTCTTAAGTAATATATCATTGGGGCTACATACTGGATCAGCCCAAACAAGATTACTCCACATTCTTTCTCTTCACTATTCTTGTTTGTAAATTTGAAATCTCTAGATAAGAAACATGGATGATTTACGTTTTGTACTTGGGCATCATATCAGCTCTCTTCACCCATTCCAGCATACCTTCAGAGGGCATGAAGTCCTCTGCTCCCAAAAACCAGCAGTTAGTATTCTAGGCCTTCTAGCTTGGAGTTACAAATGAGAGAAGCTCACCAAGCAGCATACATGTTTGTTCCTCCCCTTTTGGTGGGCAGAGGAAGAGTTTTTCACTTAAAGACCAGGAATTTTGCTAACATATCCTAGATATACACCTTTAATCATTAAAATAAAGGCTGCAGTTTTTACATCGTGGGATCAGATTTTCTTCCTGTAAGGTTATATATTTCTTATATTTACTTAATAATTGCTTGTTCACTATCACTTTTTTTTTTTTTCTAAAATGGCTTTCACATGCATATTACCCTTCATGGTTTTATTTATTTTCATGGTTTTATTTTTCACATCTCTTACTTCTTCCCTTGGAACTACATCTTGCTATTCTCCCATGTACTATGGCTGATTTATAATATATTTTCAATTGAGGCCTAATTTGCTCTGAAGAGTGACCTTTATTTTTTCCTTGTTGGCATTGCAAGGATATAACCCAGGCCACAGATATGCCAAGCATATCACTCACTGAAGTACATCCCAGTCCACACTTTTTCTGTAATTTTCAAATATTCTGCTAAATTAGTTAGGAAGCTGTGTGTGGTAACGCTGGGAAGCCTCCGAGCCATGTCTGAACCTTGGTAGTTGCTCTCCTTGCCAGATTTCATGGAAGTTGCTACCTCAACTTTTCATGGTTCTCAACTTAGGTAAGTACTGTGTTCTATTTTACCTCCTTCCTCCAAGTGCCTTCACCTCTCACCCCAACAGGGTTTGTGCTTTCTACTTTTTGCTAGTGGGGTTCAGGTGTGGTAGTCAGAAGATCCAAGTCAGGGCAACTAGAGAGAAAAGCAGGTGAAGTGGGGCCTGCAGGGTGCGGGCAACACCCAAGTCCTTGACCCATCTCTCATAGAGATTTTTAAATTGCTGTGACAATAAAATAATCAATAAAAAATTCCTAAAATGAAAGTGCTTTCTACTGGGGAATTTAAAAACACTACTTTAAAAAGCAAAAAGTATAAAAAAATTAATGAAAAGAGGAACATTTTCCTCAAACATCCTAGCTATAGCCCAAATGTCTTTGTAATTAGAAAGGAAAGACTAGCCCAGTTGGGTAACTTAGTTACAGCATGGTATTAATAACCCAATATTATAGGTTTGATCCCTGTAAGAACCATTACAGTTAACATTTTCTACAGGGCATTGTCCATCTCTATAATCCCAGCACTCTGGGAATCTGAGGCAGGAAGATCCCAAGTTCAAGCCCATCCGAGTCAATTCAGCAATTTAGCAAGACTGTCTCAGAATGAAAATAAATTTATTTATTTATTTAAAAACGGACTAGGGACATAGCTCAGTGTGAAAGACCTGGCTTCATTTCCCAACACTGCAAAGAAAAACTTAAAATGCTTAATTAGAAGGCAACTTAAACTAGGGGGACAATGGAAAGAGGCAGTCAACAAAGATAAATTCTGAAATATAATTTAAAACTAAGAATAAATAAAAGCAAATGCTGCTTTTTGGAAAGAAATAAGAACAGATGGG